AGGAAGAAGCCCCGGGACCGTCGGAGGACACTACGTCGGGGAGAAATTTGCTTTGTAAATTATTAGTCATATCTTTATAGTATTTATTCTTATTATCTAAAATATTTTTTATATAATTATATCCCTTATGCCAAAATTCCTTATTTGTTAACATTACTTCTAATAAATTGTCTTTTGTAATCTTATTATTAACTTCGTTTTCTAATTTCTTTAAGTTATCCTTATTTACAAAACAGTCAAAAAATGCATGTGCAGGGGTGTCAATCTGGCCACAGAAACAAAGGGGTGAGTCAATGATTTTTCTTTTTTCCAAGTAATAGCCAAAGGAACCATGACCTGAAATAAATTGTGTAACATAGTAATCCGGAAATCCGTGGTCTCTATCTAGCCAGGCATCTAAATCCTTAATAACTGTTTTGATCCACTTGTTTCCAGTTTCATCTTTCCATCTTGTTCTCCACTTCCCTCTAATATCTGAGTCAACTACCGATCTATCCTCTTTTTTGGCAATTCTGAATTTTAATTCAATCAATAGATCAATTGGGGGAACCCCGGAGATGACATCTTGGGCAAAGTTAGACACCGATCTATATCCGCAAATCAAAGTCCTTTTAAGAGGACGAATAGAAGTTTCTAATAGGTTAGTGGTCTTTTTCCATTGAAGGGCTGTGATCCAAATTGTTATTCCGTAAAAGATTATAGAAAGCAGTGCTTGAAAAATAATTTTGCGTTTGTAGAAAGAAGGGCCAAAAGTGTTGGGTAGAATTTGACGATAATGACTAGCGGTTTTGTTAAGTTTCTGGCAAGTTATTTCAAGATGCTTATAAAAGTTTAAGTTTTTTGTAATATAAAAGCCAAGATATTTCATAATCTCGCTCGATTCAATTAAAGTCTCATCAACTTTAATATTGGCTTTAGCATCTTCTTTTTTGCCGTCTAAAATGATAGCTTCTGTTTTGCTTTCTTCCATGAATAGTTTTTTCTTTCTAAGATTCTTTTTTAATCTTTTTGATGTTTTCTCTGTTTCTGAGAGCAGAGCTTTCTTATCTTCAACTTCAAAAGCCAGAAGCGTATCATCTGCGTACACGTTTTTATCAGTTCCTTGATTGAATCTAATTCTAACAATTTCATCAAAGATAATTAAGAATATGAGAGGGCCTAGGATACTACCCTGAGCGCCGCCTGAGTTGAGTTTAATTTTGAAATTTGGAAAGACCAGAAACCTATCGGAAAGATATGATTTTAATATTTTAACTAGATATGATGGTACATTTCTTTTGCAAAGAGTAGTGATAAAATCGATCCAGTTTATGCTATTAAAAGCATTTTTTATGTCCAAAGAGACCAAGCATAGTAATCCTCTTTTGCTTCTAGATTTACGCATATGGTAATCATAGATTCTTTTTACTGATTCCATAGCCGTTAGGGTAGATTTGCCTTTTCTAAATCCATGTTGTCTTACATCAAAATTGAGGGATTTTTCCAATCTATTGGCAATGATTCGTTCGAAGATTTTGGCAAGTGTATTAATTAAACATATAGGTCTGTAGGACATACAGAAAGGTGCTTTTATGAATGAACTAGAAGTAGTAGTTCCTTAATGCAAAATGCAGTCCAGTCAAAAATCTCACATGTCTTCAGTGAAGGCAACTAATACTTCTTTTTTCAGTATGCCATTATTTTCTTTTAATATTATGGAGATACTTAAATAACAAATACTTTCTGTTCTCAACCATTGCATCATCAAGCAGTTAAAATTTTCTAAAAAATGTTCACTAACGTGCAACAAAATAAAACTTTGTATCTAGACACGATTTGGCCATTCACTGTCTGCCCATCTAATGATAGTGACATCATCATCGCTGATGGCCAGGCAGTGGACAGCTGAAATGCATTTGTATACAAAGTTTTATTCTAATCGTCGTAACCAAAGTAGCAGTGATCGCGATAAATTACGATTTAATCGGAGAATGTATCGTGATTTTATCGACGTCGGCTTATTATAATATTATCGGATAAAAAATCGTGATAAATTGCGATTTCATCGCATTAAATTGCATTAAAATCGCGATTTCATCGACGGCAATTGATCGCGATAAATTGCGATTTTATCGCATTAAATTGCAATACAATTTCGATTTCATCGCAGAGATTTTGTAGGGATGAAATTGCAATTTCTTATCAACGCCTAATAGCGCATGAATGACGCTTATGAAAGATGTTCTCTAGTGGAGGTGTAAGAACGATTCGATACGAGGTTGGGCGTGGGGTTTGGATGGTGGGAGGTACGCCCACACTGAGAAAAAATTCTCGGCGTTTTTACCAAGGTCCGTTGGTAACTTTACCATCTCACTTTTTTTACCAATTACTGGTAATGTTACCAAGAGAGACTGGTGAGCTTACCTAAAAACCGGTATTTTTACTGGTTTTTTCAGGTAGGAATATGTACCACTTTTATTGGTAATCAATTTCCGGTAACTTTACCATTTTATCTCGGTAATTCTACCACAGTCGATAAAAAATGTTGGCGTTTTTACCAAGGTCCATCGGTAACTTTGCCATCTCACTGTTATTGGTAATTTTACTGAGACAGAATTATGAGATTACCAATAGGACCTTATTTTACCAACCGTATTTCAAGGTATGAAATAAAATACAGAGGAGGGAAAATAAAAAAAAAATTCCAATGGAAACTCGGTGTCAGTCAACGCAATGACAAAAGTTGTAAGGTTGTGAAGCGCCGATCCATGTATAAGAGGCTTCAATTCGCGCTCGTTAGTCATATAGCAGCCATAGCCTAGTGGCAATGTGCTGGCCTACCACTGCTGCGACTAGGGTTCGAATCCCCGCGGAGGCTCCGGGGATTTTACGCTCGTCTTCGTCAAAAAACCTGATGGCTGAGCCTAACGGCAACCGGCTAACAGCGTAAACTCCTTTTTTTAGCGATTTTATCGGTGATAAAATCGCTAGGATCATCAACATCTGAGCGATTATCCTCGATCTTATCACGATGAAATCGCAATTTTTTCGGGCCGATAAAATTGCAAAAAGATCGAGGATAATCGCTTAGATGTTGATGATCCTAGCGATTTTATCGCCGATAAAATCGTAAAAAAATTGCAATTTAATTGCGAAATATCGCGATTTTTCCGTTGAAAAATGCTACTTGGGAAGTGAACATTTTTTTAGCAAATTACAACTGCTTGGCAGCTATAGCTTCCTTGATAGATAATATATAGTTTTCCATGCTCCAAAATGAGTTTTTAGTAGCAACTTTAAACTGTTGCATTTTTGACAAGTAAAAACTGCAGTTCACTGAAATTTTTGTGCATTTTTATAAACTAAAAAACTCATAGAAAATGAGTTCAAACTTGTGTGTTTTGAGCCTCCATTTAAACGCAACTCCGAGAAAGCCAAAATGGCTTTTAGAAATATCAGTTCCTGTGCAATTATACTTTCGACTGCTTCACACTTCTGCTTTAATTTATGGTCCATGTAGCCGTTATCAAAGCATGACTGGAAGAACCATAAATTGTGACAGAGGGGTCGTGCAGTGGAAAGTGTAGCGGAGCCTGGCTGAATATTTTGGGATGCCATCTTGGTTTCATCTGCATAGCACAAGTAAATAGAGACTCAAGGCGTCAACATTGAATGCGCTTTTTGCAAGTTTTTATCGTTCAAAGAAGAGTCTTGTTCAAATAAATTAGTTGATCTTCTTTTGTTTACTTCCACGGATTTCCTTCTTGGCGGTTTCCTCTCTAACAGATGATTTTCTTCCTTGGAAATCATTTTGTTTCTTTGTAATTTTTCATGTGCCTAAATATCAGTATATAATTTAAAATGTGAATGATGATTATTGATGTTCAGTTGAACAGTCTTTAGTTCTGTTGTACATGTTTTTTCAAAAATCACGATGGCCCACCACAGATCGAAATGCGAAATTTTTTTGTAAAAAAGTTTTTCGGTTCTGTAACCACAGAACCTCTCAAAAGAACTTCTTATTTAGAGATTATTGCATAGAAGCCTTTTTTTTTTTTTTTCAAAACTTCTCCGAATGATTGACTCAATTTGTTCTGATGCATCCAACTATGGATATTAATCTGTTAATTGTATGGTAAAAGCTGGCTATTTTTTGGCTTGCGGCCTTTTTTGGGAAATAGGAGATGCTGAGAATAATGGCATCAATTTTCTGCAAATACCAAACTGCGACTTGGGCTCCATTCATGTTTGTGAAGTCCAAAAACTCATAGCAAAGCCGTATGGAAAAAATTAAATAAAATGTTTACTGCTGTTATATTTAAAAACCTTTCACGTGCTTACCATTGAAACTGCTTTCAACTGAGAATTTTCTTGTTGCAGCTGACTAATTTTTTCCCTATCTTTTTCCATTGAATTCTGCAATGACATTCGCCATTCTTGCTCAACTTTTAACTTGCCTTCTTGCTTGGAAACCTGAACACTTTCTTGTTTCATCGTGTCGAAAGCACTCTGCCTTTCCTTATCGCACACTTTGTATCTGGAGAAAAAAAGGAGGGAAGGGTAAAATTAAAAATAAAGAAAAAAAATTAAAATAACAAAAAATAACTTAAATTTAATGCTGAAAAATAATTCTGATTATCTGTGAGGCAATCTCGACAATTTATCTGGATTTGGAGACTTTACTTGTACTTTTTCTTCTATCTTGTACTTTTAGCGCTATTCATCTGTATCTTCCAATTTTATGCAAATTTTGACTGATAAATGTTGGGATACATGAAACTTAATGATAAACTTTTTGAATACGTAAGATAAATTGAATTTTCCAAGTAGAAAATAAGTTGGCAAATTATTACAGAGTTTAAATCGAATTATTATACAGCATTCGCACAAAATTGAATAAAGCAGGAAAAAAATAGGATGGTTCTATACCAGAGGTATTTTCAAGTTGATAAAATTAAGTGAAAAAGATTAAAATGATAAAGAAGAATAAAACCAAAGGGAATCAAATGAAGTGAAAAGAGTTTTTCAACAAGAACATTTATTTTCAAACTTCCCTAAAGTCATTCTTTATCATTTACCTGTACAAAAAAAGCCAAAGTACATAAAACTTAATGAGATAAATTTGTAATAAATCGGTTTAACATTAAAACAAATTGTGCAGATAGCATGAAAAAAATTTAAAAAAAATATTTCACGAAAGCCTTGTAAAAAAGTTATTTTGATTGGAGCCTAGTTGCCAGTGGTGAAAGATTTCCAAAGTTCTGACTGAAGGGCAACTACAATCAAAACAGAAAAATTTTTACTACTGATCTATAAGAGTCCCATAGATGGATAGGAAAAATAAAAATGAACCTATTAAAATCAGAAAATACTAATCTTAGTAAACGCTCTGTCATTTCTTCCTTTATAATGACTCAAAAGACTTTTCAGTTATATTTATGAGTTAGGAAGAAATACAAATTTATAACAGATTCACAATTTGAATCTACCAATTTCAAAAGATTTCAGGAACAAGCAATAAACAAATTTAGGCACATACTTCTTGCTTTAAAGCAACGTTTGCATGATATTAAAAAAGGTATTTCTCTTTTAAACAAATTAATCATCTTGAGAATAGAAAAAAACTTATTTTGAGAGATGTACTGTTCTGTGAATCTCAAAAAGAAGTTTCAATTATTGTGTTTTTCAAAGCTAAGCGGAAAAACTTAGAACACCAGAAGACTGGAAGATATGGATACAGAAGACTGATTTTACATCTCATGGGAATTGATCGGAGCTGTGTTTTAAAATATTACAGCTTATACAAGACCGTAGAATTTGAACTTATTTCATTTTTTCTCATTTATAACATCCCAGAGATTAAGTATCTTCCACACATGTATCACACTATAAAAACATGCCCTAAGATTTACTGGCCTCAGGTACATTGTTTCAATAAAAAGATATCAGTATGGAAGCAAGTTTGAAATGTTTTGGACGATGTTTTGGAAGAGTAAAGAGTAGAAAAAATCCTCAAACCTTCCAAGGCAACTATCGATTCTTTTTAAGCTCTACTGATCCAACTTCTTTCTAAAGAAATTGACTTGGTGGGAAAAAATACCATAATTATTCACCTGCGTCTTTGTAACTTGGTTTGAATTGTACAAAATAGGTCTCCTGCAAAACGTAATAACCTGTCTGGTTATTTAAGCAATACGTCGCTTGGCTGACAAAAAGGTGCAACTACATTTTGAGATGAACCCAGAAAAACATTGCGCTACATGGACTTCATTGGATTCATTGCTATGTGTAGTTACGCCCTTGTGTCAGAAAAGCGCTAAATGACATCTACAATTTCCAAAGAGAAAGAGCTAGAAGTCTTATGAACAGCAAATATTTTGGGATTTCATTTTAGGTTGAGTATTTGAGATGCAAGTGATGGATTTAGACTTTTAAAAATTGTTGCTTGCCCAGCCCAAAATAGTTCATTGAAAAAATGTTCCAAGTACATACATAGACTTCAAAGGAAACATTAAAGAGTTTTCCTCAAAAATGGAGCCGTTTTTTTCTGATGGAGATAACATTCTTTTCTCCCATTGATAACTCTATAAAATTTTCAAATGGAGAGCTCAGCTTTGGTTTGAAATTTGGGCAAGCAAAATGAACGTATAAATTACAAAGGAAAAATTCAAGAAAAAAAATTTCACTTAAAAAGAAAAAAAAGGACTAAAGAACACAAGAACATACTTAGCATCCAATTTCTCTAAAGCATCAGACATGGTGACAGTTTTAGCCTCTAGTTTAGTAATCAATTCTGTTTTGTGCTTGAGCGAATTTTCGCATTCCTGTGAACATAACTCTGAAATGAGACTCAAACGACAGGAGAGGTAACATAAAATAAATCAAATGAAAATGAAGGGAGAAGATTCAAAATTATTCCTCCTTTCTTTCAGACTTCTCAACATTCTTGGAGGATTCTTTTCCAGACGCTGAGTTTTCATTATTTGAACTCGGCGACTTCTCACTCTTTTTAGACTTCTCTGTTTTCGGAGGTGGATCTCGCAGTAAATGATTGTGCTTTTGTAAACTGCTCAAAAGCTGCCCGATTTGTGAGGTTTTTGCTTGAAGTCTGCTGACCATCTCTCCTTTTTGAGTCAGTTCTTCCTCACATTCCTGTGCATTGTCCAAAAATAACATTAATTATACAGTTTCGATAACATTATTCAAAACTGAAACTTGACACTAAAAATACATGCTATAGAAACTTCGATTTAGGCGCACAATTTAAAGACAAGAAAAAGAAGCGGAGCTCTTTCTCATGTGTATTTTTTTGTTAAATGATAAAATATGAAGAGATGTTGAATTCATTTAAGTTCTATCTAGCATGAGTGAGCTATCAAATTACTCTTTCATTCATCTCTCTTCATTCTGAATAAATCTAAAAAATTGTGCAAAATGTTATCAGAAAATTGCGGTGTGAATTCCCAAGTAAATGTTTGATTTAAATAGGATGAATGAAAGAATTGCATAAACAGAGTTGGGCGGGCTCTAAGTTTCCTGAGGGCATGCCCTGCCGTAGAGAGGACTTAAGGCTCCCACAAATACTGGAGTGGAGAAGAAGAGGGTGTTCGAAAGTGAGTCTAAGAGGGTCTACAAGATATTTCAAAGAGCGTTGAATGGGGCCCCTAAATTTTGAGAAATAGAGGCCCCTGGCCGTGCTCTTTTGGCCAAAGTTTAGGAAGCAGTCACTCTCTAGCCCTAATGGCTAGTCAAATCCCTGCATCCAACTTCTTTCAGATGAAAAAAAAAGAACGTTTGATTCAATTTACACATTAAAAAAAGGTACTGGTGTTTGTTGTTCTACGTACAAGATCAATGATTTTTTTTACCCCATAAGCTTAAGAATTTTTTGAAGAAATGTATACGTTGCAAAAAAAAAAAAGAAAAAAGAAAAAATTGAGGCATCCTTACAAAGGAGAAAGAGAAAGCATCAAATAGATGATAGCTAAAAAGAGAAGAGTTTACCTGTAATTTTTTATACATTTCTATGTTGATTACTTTAATGTCATCCAACTGACAACGGAGTGAAGTGATTGTATCTTGTTTGTCATGAATGTCCTTCTCCAAAAGTTTCATGGCAACTTCCATTTCATTCTTCAAGCATAACTGCCAAGGTTATCAAAGAAAAGAGTCAAAACCGAGGTTTGAGTAAAACGTAAGAAGCATATTTACGGTAAAAATTTCGAACTTCCATTTAATCTGTGTTAAAACTGCTTGTTAATATGTGACTATTTATGAAGTTGATTTCTGAATTTCCTGTTGTGTGAACAGTTTTCCACATAAGATTTTGAGGAGCAAACATGTAACATTTCCGTTCAATTTCGGCTGTACAGTAGACTCTGGATTATCCGGCTTCGTATTATCCGGACTCTGGATTATCCGGATCGATTTTGCAACCATGTAACTATGTACACTCTCCTAACAACTCCTTAAAAAATCGTAAAACAATGAAAACTGGAAAGTACCCAAAAGTAGACATCCAAGAAACACGCGGATTCTAAAAGGCAGAGGCCATTGACTGCCTACTTTAAGCCCGTTTAAGTTGGTATGTACATGATGTATACATAATAAGAATACTGTGGTGTTGGTTGGTGGTGTTTGTGTTTCGTATTATTATCCGGAGTTTTTTTTTAACCGGATCGGGCCCGGCACCAATTAATCCGGATAATCCAGAGTCTACTGTATCTGGTGGCCAGCATTTTCAGGACATTTCGTCAGCGATTTTTTGTCCGCGCACCTGTTTTGTCCGGTAGTTTACGTTCACATGTAAAATAAGCAACAGCGACTTGGTCCAAGCGTTATATCTTAGTCCGTATTTAAAATTATATTGATAATATCAAAATGAGAAAATTGAGAGAAAAGGAGGTGTTTTTATGGTATCTCATTTTTTAACTTTTGATTCATATTTTCAAATTGTCATTGTGGCAAATATTTATAAAACCTTTTCCAAGCAATGGCATTGATGTTAATCTCAAAGAACCAAAAGCGTGTCGAACAAAACTACACAAAAATGAATAAAAGAGGAAATAAAACAAAAAAACAGGCAATCTTTGGTTTTAATCCATTTGTGCATCGATCTTCTAGATTTAAATACGTCCAATTTTGAGCGTTTGATTGCGCATACAAGACGCTGCAGCACAGTAAAAGCACAAAATATAAATAAAAAAAAAATAACAGGCTTTGGAGATCATTAAATTTGACATGGAACTACCTTGGTATTTTCAAAACACACATTAAATTTCCTTTTAATACATATTTTTCCCCATCAATATATATGAGAATAATCAATGCAGAGTGTGCAAAAATTTCAAAATCATGAGTTGAAAAACACTGACTCTGCGAGTTTAAATATTAGAGCCAAACACAGAGCTGAACGGCGCGGCGCGGCGGAGTCTGCCAGCGCGACCCGCGCATTGGCGCCTACAAACCTAACAGGGATACTTCACGCATTGCGAAATGTGCATTGGCGCCTACAAACCTAACAGGGATACTTCACGCATTGCGAAATGTGCATTGGCGCCTACAAACCTAACAGGGATACTTCACGCATTGCGCAATGCGTGAAGTATCCCTGTTAGGTTTGTAGGCGCCGATGCGCGTGTTGCGCTGATCGCCCTCGCCCGCCGCGCCACGGCGCTTCGAACAACTATTTCGCAACAGAGGTTACATATAAAATTGAAGGCCCACAAACATATTAAAGACTGACAGGCATTCTTTAAGAGTACGATGCTTTCATGGCAAAATAAATCAAGATTCTACGGCACAAAAACAAAGCAGTAGTCCAAAAACTCACTAAGTCCTAGCATTCATGTTTAATAACGTTTAGCATAATTTTTGAATTTCATTAGAGGAAAAAGTGACTTGATTTAGGCAGAAATATTCTTGGGTATGCCGCCAAGAAGATTTTATTTTGAATCAAGAATAAAATAGCTGAATGAAAGTGGGTTTATGCTTGATGTGGTTGACTTTTCTTTTTGTGTAAGCATCTTTTCTTCTTTAAAAAAGTATTATTTTCTTTGTTGATTCATAAGGAAATCTTCCTGGCGGTAAATTTGAGCATATTTCTGCTTGAATCATGTCCCTTTCTCCTCTGATGAAGTTAAAAAATCATGCTAAACTTTATTGAATACAGATAATAGGACTCAGTAAGTTTTTCGACTACCCCTAGTACTTACATGTGGACCAATTAACTTTGGGTCTCGATTGGTAAGTGGACCAAAACTCCCCTGCCAAAAAAACGTGTGGACATAAAATACTAGAAAAAACAGGTGTGCGGACAAAAAATCGTTGACGAATTGTCCTATAACCTGGCCTGCTGTCACAAATTATTTGAAAAATGATGAGAAATGCTCTGAAAAATACTTATTGAGAAGATGTAGAATTAATTTTAATTGTATATTAACAAATAAAATCTTTGGCTGTACCTGTAGATGTAGTTCCTTCATTGCATCCTGCTTTTGCTTTTTTTCAGCATCTAACTGTTGTTTAAGCTGTTCCATTTCCTTCTTCATGGGATCATTCTCGTCCTTCACATCTTTAGTTCCTTTGGTTGTCTGAACATAATGATAAATTTTTCTTGAATCATTGAAATTTGACTGTTTTAGAAGTAGGAGTTTAAGGTACTTCGAATGATGGATGGTGCTTATCAAAATAGTTAATTAAACAAAATGAAGATTTAATCGACTCAAATGCAACTTTCCTAAAAATTGATGAGGTGCACATATCTTAGAATGCCTGGTACATATGCCTTGGTTACAACCATGGACCCAGAGTGCATAAGGTAGACTCACTTGTGCAAAAGATTGCCTCCTTCTTCACTGATCTGTTGAAAACATTAAATTATAGGACAACAGCCATGATGGTTGTTCCAAAAGTAAGTTCTATGGCCTTATTTCTCCAAAAAGACTGACGATAAATGAATGCCACACAAAGGGTTGTGTCTGTCATTCTCTCAGCTTTAATCAAGCTAAAGCAGTTAAAAAGCAGTTCTCCGGATCGCTAAGAAAGTCCATTTAACTGAGCAGACCTCCTCTCCTTCCGGGTCCAATAATAAGGACTCCTGAATTGGCATGTTTGTTGAGTGATTATCTAGATTCTAGAGCCACTCAGAATTTGTTAAGAGTAAAACTTTTACTCATCTACCATACTCGCCAGAATTAACCCTCCTTTCAAAATAGAAACCGGAACTTTTTTGCACCTGTCATAAAAAAACTGGAGCAATGTTATCGCGTGTTAGGTCAAAAGAGGAGACTACATTGAAAAGTGAGGTAAGCTCTTCACAACTCATCTTTCAGAGAACAGTCGATTTGTTTTCATTGTTCCGAAACTCTGCAATCGTGCTGCGATTACATTTTTGGACTAAATTTACGAGCTCTCTATAGCTGGTCCAGCCCGCCAGCTCAGGAAAACGAACTTTCTTATCAAACCAGTGAGCCTATTTCCAGCTTCTTTACCTTGTTAGAAAGCTGAAAGTATGAAAAACACAACTTTTTTTACTGCATTCATTCAAAATTAACAAATTCAGAGAAATGAAGCCATGGAACTCATTTTTGGAACGATGGAACAATACTTGTATTTTTGTTATACTTCGTGATCTTCAGGTCATTAAGTAATGCTCAGGTGAGATGCATCTGCCCTCTCTTAAACTGAGCTATAAATAGTCTAAGATCAAAACAAACAAAAATTGAATGAGTATATCTTATTGCATACACTTACCTCTTCAATATGTGCTGAGCTATTCACAGAGCTTAATTTGGCCTTCAAATTGGCATTTTCTTCCATCAAAGCATACAGATTACTTTTTGATATCTCCAAGTCTTCTTTCATTAAAGCATTGGTGGTTGTTAAGGCTTCTACTTTGGCTTGAAGATTCCCAACTGTGGCTCTGAAAATTGGAAGAAACGATAAAAACTTGTTGAAGGAAAAATGATACTAATAGGTCTTCAATTTTAGGAAAAAGTCTTAACTTACATTTACTGTCGACTGATCTTTCTTATAGAACTGAAAATTGACTGCATTGGTAAAAGTTATCAGTTATAAAAATTTTGGATGAAAACTTTGAAATGAAGACAAAAGAATGTTATGGTTTACAAGACATGTTTGCTTGTTTTTTAAAGAATTACAAGAACTACTGAAATTTTCCGTGAATTTTTCTTCACTCAAAACAATCACTAAAATTGCATGAAAACGTTTGAATTAGTTTTCTTTAAAGGAAATAAAACAAAATTTGAGTTTTTTAAAAGTTGCATTTGAGATATGCATTTTTCAAATTTAGTCCTGGATATCCTAGTTGTTCCTTCAACTTACTAATAGATATTGAAAAGCGAGGGAAAAATTTAAATGAAGGAGTAAGTAAACATACGTTAAATGCCTGTTTAGTTCTTCGATATAATTTTTTTGATCTAGGACTGCAGTCATATTCTCTAAGTCAGGGTCGTTTTCAATTGAACTTCCACTACAATTGACAGGACAAGCATTACGCAGGTACAGGGAGAAATCAATGACTCCTTGCTGACAATCTAAGTCTTCTTCCTGGAAATTATAGTTTATTGAAAATACATTTAATTAGTAGAATATTTCTCATTTAAAGTGTGGTTTATCCTTAACAAACTAGTTTATTTTATGTAATCGGCTGTGTACTGCAGCAGGAGAGTAAATATATGTTTATAACTATGAAAAACAAATTGAGTTTCGTTTTCTGGAGGGCAGAGGAAACAATAAATTGATAGTTGCAGAACTTTGATACAAGGAGATTGAGTCACAGAGTTCATAATATATGTATACTTCACGGAATGAACAATTAAAATAATAGAAATTGTTCTATTTCTGGTTTTTTTTTTGGTCACTTTACATGAAACAAGTGACGGTTTGTGGAAAAAGACTTACTTATGTACAAAATTGAATTAGAGATATGTATTGCTACCATTGCTTTGAGAGATATTCTATGAAGATATTAGCAAGAAAAGCACCAAGACAAATCTGACCAAAACAAGAGTTAAAATGGTCTGAAGTTCCTGATTCAAAACATGTAGTTTGGGGTAAAAGCTATTCAAAGCTTTTGATCTGCCATTATCGAGCCCTAGCATTGATAACCCAACATGCAATTTTACTAATTCTCCCTCTCTGTACTGCCACAAATATGAAGTGAATCACTTACAACCTCGTGTTTTCCTTTCAACAGTTCTTATGGTTCGCTCTTCAATCAGCTTGACAAAACTCACTATCCAGGAAAGTGTGCTTCAAAGCAGCTTCGTCCGATTTTTTTTATTTTAACCTGTTTCCGATTTTAGAGGCCAGTCACATTTGAAAAATTAAAATTATTCAACACCCTCCGAGAACGATTTAAAGGGGGATTCTATCAGCATTGAATTCCATTAGATTCCTGGAATTTAAAATGAAGTTGAAACATACATATCGTACCTTCACACACAAATTGCAGTCTATGACATTCAATCCTAGGAGAAGACCAACGATAACTATAATTTCCTCACTCATGAGAAGAGCGTCTGGTTCATAATAGTCTGACAGTATATCATCTTTGTGATCGACTAAAACTTTTAGGTAGTCTCCTAACTTCTTTTGCATCAATGCTAAGCGAAGCCAGGCTCTTGCTCGACCCATGGCTGTTCTGAAAAGTAAAAGCATAAAAGAGTTTTGATTAGCTAATGATAGTTTCTAGACATTTAAAGAAAAGAAAAAGAATCAGAAGAATTCAGAGAAATCAGTGTTGTTAAATGGTTGCTTCCAAGTTTTACATGAAATTCAAAGAGAGAAATATTCAAGTGATGAAGGCCTCATTCATGCTGACACCAAACCCTTGATCTTCAAAGAAAAAACTATATCATTGAGGTTTATATCCATTTGAACTATTAAAAAGTTTACAATTTCGAAGAAGTTGGCTTGGAAATTGGCGAAAACAGAAATTTATCTCTTCCTATGACAGTGCATCAAAATTTAAAAGAGCCAAATAAGGTGAGACTTATCCATGAATTTATCTCATTTTAAAAATTCGAACTGCCGGTCTACCCTTTTCACTTGAACTATGAGCTACTCTCCCTTTCTCTTGTATGCAGTCTCATAATATTTTTTTTTTTTATTTTGTCGCCCTACTATTAAGGTAGTGTCTTCAACTCCTTACACCAGTATCCTACTTCCATCAACTGTTTGTTTTTTTTCGTCTTTTGTTTTTCTTTTAACTCACTCGACTTTTTTATCTCTTTCCTCATCCACCAACTCAGCACTTACATGATTCCAATTTGTTTCATTTAATCATTATTGTCTTTACCTTTATTTCTGAGAAATTTCTTCCAGTTCACAACAACCAAAAGAACTTGACACATTCAACAGTTCATTGGGCTATGCCCAGATTTATTTTTTTAGGGCACAGTTCATTGTTCAAATTTCTCTTTTTAATGCCTTATAGTTCACTTATAGTCGACCGAAACACACAATGATTACTCTGGGGTCCATGAGGTAGGACCCCCTAGGCTGATAAAGGCTTGCTTCAGTAAGCCTATAACAGCTAGTATGCTGTGAGGTCCCATTTAAACCCAAAACTCACATCCTTTAAGCTGAAGATTGGAGGGTTTTACGATACACTTGATTGTTTTTTTTACCTACAATAGTGATTGCTGACACTTATTAACTTACTTCACAGTTGGTAAATCCCGAACACTTGCTGTGATATCTTGTGCTTCTGCAGTGAGTTTCTCGACAGTTTGTAAGATGTCCCATAGTTCTTTTTTCGGTCCTAATAGACCCTGCACAGGTAAAATCACAATGACTGAGTATAATAACATGAAGTAACCAGACGAATTGATTGGAGTTTTTTTCCCTCTATCCTACATGAATGAGAGGAAACTGAGTAAACTTTTTCCTTTTCTTAAAGAAAAATAACTTAAGTAAATACAGAAATGAGAAAAGGGGGAGAGGGCAAGGAGGGAAACCTTTTAGATTGCAACGAGGCAGAAACCAGAAAATTCTGCTGCTTTCATTCGAAAGTTGAATTTTGGATAAAATGCCTATATTCAAAGTGAATTTTATGGTGTAATTTTAAAAACATGACCATCTTGTGGAACCGCTTAGTGGAAAGATCGATCAAACTTAAAAAATGTTTGGTACATATTAATTACATGGATGACTTGGACAGAGGTACATCAATATTAGGTATTGTGCTTCAGGAGCTATTGTGCTGTATATTGAAGATTGCTTGGAAAATAATCCTTTATATATACATATATTTTTTTTAAAAAAAATTACTGGAAGCAATTTTACCTTTTTAGGCCTCAACCCATGTCGAAGAACATGTTCCAGAACAATAAAAAAATGCTGTAAGGGCATGCTATCTGAATCCAGCATCCGTCCATATTTCACAGACGTTTCAATTAACTCTTTGACAATAAGCTTAGAGATATTGACCAAATTTCTGCGCTCAATCAAGCCGGGATCTCGGACTGTAAAAGGCAAACGAGAAATAAAAGTTAGTGATAACTTGTGATAAAACAAAGAGGGTGTAAAAAATAAACAAGTCGAGAAACAATGAAATTATAAAAAATATAGGTTCTTTAGTCTTCTCTGGAACAGAACTGCCTAATGCTACTGGACTATGAATCTGCTCAGTGAAGGCGATAAGTCACATTTTCCACGTTTAAAATTGCTATTTTTAATTTTAATGCCAATCTTAATGTATAAATATTGACTTTAAAATCTGATCAAACACTCTTGAGAAATGTATCTTTTTTGAAAATGACTTGTATAAAACTCATGATAGTTCATGTATTAAAGCGGAGGTATTATGTAGACCCATACAAACCTTCCCGCCCGGCAAGTGGTTGCCTGAAGTAGATGCGGAAATAATGTCACAATGTAACTGCCAAAAATAATGTTGCGGCAACGTTGCAGCAACGTTGTGGCAATGTTATTTTTGGCCGTTGCCGGACGGGTTGGGTTCAACTCAGGTCTTTGATCACTTTTGAAGTGGCAAAAAAAAAAAAAAAAAAAAAAAACCCTTAGGAGAGTAATCAGACTGCACAAAGTTTCTTCCTGAAATTGAGAAAGTTGGACAAAAAATAAAACTATTTCGACAGTTTACATTTACCCGGAATGGGTGTTTTGGGACTTACAGATGACCCTGTATACATTTTTACCATTCAAACAGTAAAAAGACATAAATAACACAAAGACCAGAGAGTTCCTCCTGCTTGCAGATCATTCGACAGTTTTTAAAGAGAAATAGTTTGGATACGGTTAATAGAAAATTCTAGAGGGCCAACTATTAAACCCGAAATAGAACCAAGGAATAAAAAGTTAGTACCAATAAATAGAGGCTCGATGGGAGACGGCGTCCTCGGTTCAGGGAAGTTATCAATGTTGTTGTAATCAACATCATCTAATTCTTTCAAGCAGAGCCATTCGCCCTCAACAGAGACTCTGAAGTTGCACAGATAAATTGTATCTTGGGCACCGGGAACATTCGCCTCATTCATTTTCAGACAGGATCACTTCAAACTCTTGAATTACATTACTCCACCGACGAAATTTCCACTGACAGAGTGAAGATGAAACAAACGATTCACAAGGAAAAGCTGTGTTTGTAATGACAACAGATTTTCACTTGGAAGTTCTCCAAACGGATACACCAAAAAGGAAGAGAGACTGGAAAATGGGGGTCCTCGGCTGAGAAAAGCCTTAAAAAATATGATTTTTAACTGCGGGGATAGGGCGTAGGGGGTGACGCGAAGGTTCTACGACGCATTTTGGAGAATACACTGCGGAAAACTGAAAGGTTAGCGGTGAAGTTCGCACGAGTGTGAGGCTGGAGCGGTGCATTTGGGACCCGGAAAAATCAATAAAAGTCTTGGTGAGGACTGAGGAGTGAGCGCGGAGCGGCTGATGGCGTGTTACCGCGAAAATTCAAAGTTGGCGTACAAGAGCTGCCGTCGCGTCGCGCCCCTTTGACACTCGTAGCCGGAATGCAACAGTCTGATTAGTGCGCAAGTGCAATGGTAATACGCATGCGTGAAAGGCAGACTGCTCCACGGTCGGATCAAGAGTGGCATGAGTAGTGGTTGCACCAGGCGCCGTCGAAGCAAGGGCACCAATCAGGGGTGCTAAAACTTCTCGACCACGCGACCGGACGGGGAGAGCTGGCAAAATCGCGAATATTTGGGCAAAACTACGGTAAAAATCATGTATGGCCTTGTCTCCACGAGCCGTTTCACGAGATTTGTCCCAGGGAAAAATCCCACTTACGAAGTTGGGAAAAATATTGAGTTAATCAATATTTTTCCCAGTACCAAGTATGGTACTTGTACCCCTAGGACCCACTGAGAGAAGAAGAAGAAGTGAAAACGAATTGAGCGATATTTTATTCATTACTACATTGTTCATGAATACTCGACTTTAACTGATTTATCTTCCCACGCAAACTAGTCGCAGGACTGTATGAGCCCCGTCCCGTGGAGACGGTAACTGGGAGAAATCCCAGAATTTTCATTCCTGCGATTCGAACTTGGGACAAATCCCATGAAAACGTCCCGTGGAGACAAGGCCTATTCTTCGTAAAGGTATCGTAATCGTGAAAAATCGCGTGTTTTGCTCAAAGTAGCGCCAAATATGCGATCGAGCCATAAAAAAGTTATCTTTTCGAATTATTTGGAGAAAAGGGTTTTCAGAATGAGAAGGCCAATTTAAAGAATGGGAAGGCCAAGAACTTTCTGCACCCCTGGCGCTAAAATGAGAGGAAAGAAAAACTATCGGCAAAAAGAGGAAAGAACAAATAAGGAGTGATGATAAGTTTCGAATTTGCCGGGGAACACGGATACAAGATACAATGAAGTCTCGATTATCCGCGGTGATAGAGCCGGAGCTGTCGCGGATGGACGAAAATCGCGGATACATGGCCAGGAAAAAAGATCAAGAAGGAACTACTTTAAAAGACTCTGATGGAACACTTGTCAACTTTTGGGCAGAAATGTATAAATATTGGTTGGATTTGAATACATTTTACTTTAAAAAAGATTATTTCGGCAGAAAATTTCGACGCGATGATTGCGTTCGTTCTATTTTCTTCTAATGTAAGTAACCTCCCCCAAAAAATTAAATATCATCCTAGTTTCTGAATACTTACAATGAAGATTGAAGAACATATTTTTAGGGAGTCGAGAGTGCTGACACGTTGTCCTTCAGCATTTCCTACAGTCTTGTGGGCGCTAGTATACGTTTCACGCCGCAACTGACCGACTGCACTGCGTTCGGCGCAATGCGAGAAGTATTCATTTAGTCTTGTAGGCGCTATGGGCTTCACGCGGACCGCACGGCTTGGTGCAATGCGTGAAGTATTCTTAAAGTCTTTCAGGCGCTAATATACGTTTAACACCGGCCGCACTGTGTATGGCGCAATTATTCGAACTCGCGTTAGAATGATCGCGGCATCGAATAATAGAGCTTAAAAGACCTATTTTGTGTTTCGATGCCGTATGAGCATTCCAACGTTGCCTCGTCTCTCCCGATTAAATATTTTTTCCGAGAAAAGTTGGGAAAGTTCTTTTTCCCACGAGCATTATTCAATCTTTTCACTTAATTTATCATCAGAAGGTAAGGCATCGATGACCTGTTAACAAACTAACCTAAACTGGCGTTGACATACAAATGCGTTTATTTTCCAACTGTTTCCTGTTTTGCCAAACTTATACCTTAAATTAACTTCATTTAAAGTCGCGCATTCGAATAGCAGATGTTAAGGTTTCTATTTGCGCAATCTTTCTGCCTTTTTCGCGCAATCCGAATATATTTTTTTAGACCTTTTGTGCAATCCTGGATTACCAATATTTTGGCTAGAGTTTAAAGATGATTTTAGAGATTCACTACAAATTTTACATCGTTTAGCACTAAGTTGACTATACTGAAGCGTATGCTAAAAATGTAAACTTTGCAATGCTGTACCTATCGCCAAAACTAGCTTTGAACTACACGGTTTCATTTCAACCATTTTACAATGAAGGTCCCAGATTCCTCAAAAAAGGGAAATTTTTTGGAAGGCTTTCTCACCTTCCTATATTTCTTGCTCAATTTAAGTAGGGTTCTTCAGGATTCTCAAAATGTTTGTCCTGCCTGAATCATCTTTTCCTTTACAAAAACTAGAATGACCTGGTGCTCTTGGATGATTGTTCAAACTAACTCAAAATCAAAACGTTAAATTTAGAAATATCCTAAGTTTAGTTTCCTAGTGAGGAAATTGTATACAGTTTTCACTATTTAACAGTCCCCGGTTGATAGATACAAGGCAAACCCAAAGCATTGATAGTAAAAGTGCAACTTTTAGTAAAGGAGTCCTCCCTACTTCGTTGAAAAATGATAATAGTCACGCGATACGCTGATACAGCTTGGACGAGATAATTAGTGACATTGGAGAGGGAGAATGCAAGACACATACCAGATGCTACAGACTCATGATAAATGACAGGGGGGAAGAACAGAAATACCTCAATAGATAAAAAGAAAATACATAAATGGACTGCCTTTAGTAGTAAGGGACCAAGCATCATCAGCTATTGCCAAATTTAACTGGGCAATTCAATTTTTTACATGAGAACGTTTGTGTGGATTCCTTCGAAAATTTTAGGAACTGCTTCAGACTATGCAGAAAATTCACTGAAAGCACAAAAATTTGCACAAGCTTTTTCATGTAAACAGTTGCCCAATTAAAATTGGCAATAGCAGTTGTGGCATGGTCCCTTTCTGCTAAATAATTTAAGATTTTTTTTTCCTTTCTTTTTTTTTTGGGGGGGGGGGGGGNNNNGAATAAATTATGAGCAAACAAATTCTTGGAACCACCCAAGAATTAGTCGAGCTAGGGCCGCATTAATTTCCCTCCCCTTCCCTAGCAAAATTTTGAGAAAAGTAAGTTTCTTTCAAACTTCAAAAAGCCCCATTAGGTTTGATCCTATGTTGTAAATACCAACCCCTTCAATCCCTGCTCAACGCTCAGTCACAAAGAACTTTGCTTGCACTCAATGCTGGCTAGCTGGGATTCAAATCCAGGGACTCACAATCATGAGGAAAGCCTTTACAGGAAGCTTTGGTAAAATCTCATTTAAAAAAAAAAAAAAAAAAAAAAAAAAAAAAAACTGAATTTTTTGAATGCTTGGAGAATTCTAGCTATCCTTCAAAAAATGTTGCTCCCCCTGGCAATTTTGGTAACGGCCTAAATTGCATAGTTCATGGGTGCAAAAGTTTCAAGACGACGCGACCGAGCGGGTCGCAGATTGCGATCAGTCAAAACCGCGTTAAAAATCACGTTGTTGGTAATAAATTGCAGAAAGAATCACATTTTTTCCCCACGCGATACACATAACAATTTCGTTTGGAACATTGTGGCAATTCCAACGTACAGAGCCATCTTGAGATGAAAGGTCATCTTTTTGAGATCTCTGAGGAAAAAGGTGTTTTTAGAATTGGAAGGCCATGAGCTTTTTGCTTCCCTAGGATGATCATCTGAGGGTGTCCAAAATTTGGAAAATTTACACCGGAAGATGAAATGGACCGCATTAGGCAGAAAGGAACTAAGTAAACCACATCAATTACTGCCAGAGGTAATTGGGAAATTTACGTAATTTTCTACATGACAACGGTTGTGCAGATTTTTGTTCAAATTCCAGTGGATTTTCTGCATAGTATGAAGCAAATACCTCAAAATTTTCAAAGGAATCCGCACAAACGTTCTCTTGTAAAAAATTGCTCCATTAAATTTGGACATAGCTGCTGTGGCTTAGTTCCTTTCTGTTCAACGTGGTCCAACCAGCCATCAAGGAGGAAACCTTTCCTTTAACCTTTTGACCTTTCCTTTCCTTACAAATTTTGATTTAAAAAGATTTAACTTTAGTCTTGACTAACGATGAAAAAGCGCTGACCAGGTCCAGGATTCATCTGATGATGCTAAACGACCAATGGTCTAGAAACAGGTGCATTGATCAGAGCTGTCATCCACTTCAGCATAGCTATCATTAGCATCCAGCACACCTCATCATAGCGATCAATACTTGGTATGACATCACGTTCACTAGCATGACAAACAGTGCTTGTCAAAAAGGAGTAAGAGTGAACCCTTGATTTAGAGCACTTTTTGCAAGCGATTAAAGTTAGAATCCTATTGCCAGACAAGACTAATACAAATATAATCTGGGGATAGGCTGCAAAAAACAACTAAGATCAAAAAATGAAAACAAACCGGGACATTTCGAAATAATAACAATCCCATTTTCAACCGGAAAAAAACAAAAAATGAGTCATTGATCTGCTGTTATCTACTTAATGCGAAACCAATACTAACAAATTGTTCATTGAACCCTGGTTTTGCAACTGGAGAAAATTAATTCAACTGAGCCACACCCCTTCATGGATAAATCTTTGTGAATACAGAATAACTGCTGCTATTGAAAAGCAACCTATTGCAGCATACCGGACAGCTCAAAATTGTATGGTCAGTTTGTTTGCTTGACAGTGGAAAAACCTGTCTTTAATCAACAACGGGAAAATTTGATAGTTTCATATCCTTTCACACTTCTTTCCATGACCTGACGGTGGTAAATAAATATGAGTGCCACAGGGGTAGTCCGGTGAATACTGCGTTCACCGCCCAAAAGAAGGCAAGTTCCCTTGCCTCTTCCTCCATTAAACTCAACCTTTCGCGAGATGCTGTCCGCCCAAGGGCAACTAAGATGTGGTTCTCAGCCTATTACGTTGACTTGCGACAAAATGCTGCGAAGTTCATCAAGGTGCTTACTGCATTCACCCTGCTCCTGAACAACATAATAGGAATATCTAAGGGAGGAAATACCTGCGTGAACCGGCAGGTAATGGATAAAGTCCATCTCAAATATCAGGGTTCCTTGGCGGGTGTGCTTTTGCGGGGATCCAGATTTTACTGCATGCGGATGAGTAGATGAAGCGTGAGTATTGATGAAAGAAGTGCTTAGCTTTGGGCTTACCTTTCTGGGACAATTTGTCTGATTTTGAGTTTGAAACTAACAGTTGGGGCCATCTCTCAACGGAGGTAACTGATGGGGATCTTGAGGCACTTTTGAAGAAAAATTCACCAGCAGTGGGACTAAAACCAACTTTAGATGGTCCCTCAGGACCTGTAGGCAACCCTTCACCAAAGGCAGCCATAATTAATGTAAGAATAATTATAAATGCATTGCAATTCGTTTGATAAAACTGATAAAGTTGAATAAAAACACTACGTCACAAAATAAAAACAATTTGGAGCAATGTTGCCGATATCACAAGAGTAGAAGTTTAGCGTTGCCAAATTGCACTTTCCTTTATATTTGATGACGTCACAATTAATTGATAGGAAAAAATAATATAAACAATAACTTAACCCAAAAATTTCACATGGCCATTCATTCCCAGCGTTGACGTTTCTTAGTATTTCACGCCGATATGAGTAAAATGTAAGTATTTCCACCTAATTTTCATTTCATTTGCTCTGATTTTTCATCGCTCTCGCAATTTTGCTTTCATCAGATTTGTTTTAGGTACTCTCTAATCTCTGTAAGTGCCGACTCATTTTCTACAAAATTCCTCCGTAGGAAGGGTAACAGTTAATTGGAAGCTGGAATAGGGCTCAGACCCAGTCCTATCTAACCACCCAAATTTTGAAAATACACTATTTCTCAGAGATAGAGATATATGGATGATTTGACTAGACATGAATGTAAATTGGGAGATGATCATGCTGTTCCTGACAGCACTTAGTTTGCTTTTCCGTCAAAGGTTCATTACAAGAAGAAAGTGTCCAAACACAGGATAAGTTGCAGGTTCTATTTTAATTCTACTTGAAAAATGCAAATAATTAGAACTAGCATCTGTTAAGATGGCAGTTGTTTACTTTCTGTACGCATGCGACTGCATTGCAGTTGTCCACTAGCCATCAAGGATTGAGTGCACGCAACGCAGCTGCCACTCACTATTGTACTAATATCTATATCGACAGTGTAAGTCGGCAATCACATAACTCGATTTGTGACGTCGCAAACCTCCTATCATACTTTATTTTTTAAACGAAAAACTGCTCAATAGCAATTCTTTAAAACTGCCGTGATTTTTTCTCTCTGTGCGAAGAAAATTCTGCAAAAAATTAAAGGAATGATGTCAATTTGTTCTCCTTTAAAAATTAACATAGAGGCGGAGACTTTCAGACACTGGGAATGAGTTATGTGATTGCCGACTTACACCGTCGTCATGTACTCTCCTAGTAGAATGTAGCATTCTTCAAAATTTATCATTGTTTTATTAATTTTTGTCATTTTTGGCTCTGTTCAGTCCTTGCTATCCTGAACAGGAAACATAGGGTGTTTGGTAATATGAAAAATTCCAAAGCTCACCCACCATACATTTTACAGAAACCATTGTATGATAACTGTCAACTTCTTGACTCAGAGGGAACTCTATTGTCAACTTGCAACCGAAAAAAAGTACAGTGGTAAGTTTATTTGTTTACTTATTTACTTGTGCCTGTCCTTGGGGAAAGGGATCTCACTGCAGAAAAACTTAAAAATGAGATGGTAGGTAAGGGCCATCCTCCGAAATGGTTGCGAAGTATTTTACTTTATCATCTTCAGAAAAATTTCAGTTCCATAAAATGCGCATCAAATCTAACTTTTGCCTTTAAATCTTCAAACCGTGTAACTTGAAAACTTCTTTTTGCTTGAATGTTCACACTACTTTGGTTTTTTTCAAAACGGGAAATGATTCTGTCTTTCTTGTCTCATTTTTGTTTTCACCCTTGAATTACTTTAAGTGTTTCATGTTCACAGGTATGTTGATAAAGGCCTAGGTTCCGTCATTAAAGAGAATCCAGTCACTCTCCGGTTAAATTTTTCTACTAATTATAAAGATCAAGGGTGTCCATCAAAAGTGTACTATTGTCATGATAAGGATAACATCTGTGTTGTTTGCGGTTGCAGTAATCTCCTACTTCGGAAGTATATTGTTCCGGCAGAGTATCGCAAATATTTAGGAGGTAAATTACAATACGATGTTACTGGTAATTTGTTTATAATAATTCAAATAACTCTTCCACAAATGTTATTTGGTTTTTCATAGTCAGATTTTAACTAAGTAATGGTCAATCTATTGAAAAATTTCCAAAAAATAGAACGTACAGGCACAACGAATAGTTAAGAGGCCATTTATAAAATACGCTATGATACACTTTGAATTTTTCAACCCCTCCTCCTCCCCCTTGTAACGCTTTTGGGACATAGATCCCTATCCCATAATACATAGAAACTGGATGGTGCAACGCTCTCCTCAACCCCCCTGACCCCCACCTTTAGCATTACATATTTTTTGAATGACCCCCAAGGTTGGAGTAAAGTTTTTGAAATGATACTACAAGGACTGATCCATCTGTGCCTCAGCTGGATCAATACGTCGAGTTTAATAGTGTATTTCTGTTCCTCTTTAGTATTTCAATGCAAAAACAAATGTTTGTAAAATTTTCGATTTAAGCCAAGAAAAAAAAAAGGGAAAAACTTATCACATAGGTTACCTTGAAGAAACCATTGCTGTAAACAGGCTGCTTGAACAAATGGTATATTAAAAATCTGAAAAATCAGGGAATTGTAAAATGAAGGAATTAAGGAAACCTCGAATTTTAATGGTGAAGTTCAGATGTTAAAAATAAACATGGAAATGTATAAAATTTTTTGGACAATGACTCTTAAAAATCGCTGGATTCCTGAAAATGTTTTGTACTATTAAATTCACAGTGTTGAAGTTGAGAAGTTCGAATTTTTAAAAATCTCTCATACATTTCTTTAAATGATGTTTCAGGAACGTCTCATTCTTCCCATGATATCCTACTTTTTTGCAAGTCATGTCATGATGAACTAAACAAATATCAACATGAGCTGAAAAAATCTCTTTGTACCAAGTACAAAGTACCTATCAACAATGCTGAAACAGGTCCAAAAGTAAGTGCTTCATATTGTGTCTGCATTTATCACTGAAACATGTACTTAGATGGTAAACTCATGAGACACAGCAATGCTGTTTTAAATGATAGAAATAAAGCTCCTCGGGTTTATTCAATTTTATTTTCAGTTTGAAAGATATTATTTGGACTAGGTTCATTAAGTGTGTGTTTAGATGCCATAGGTCCGTTTTTTAGGAATGAATAGCGAAGGGGAATTTTAGCAAAAGCGGAAGGAGAATTTTAGTAAAATGTTGCATTACCCTAATAATTTTAAAGGTCCAACACTTAGGGTATACTTATCTACAATGGATATCCGCCTGAAAACCAGTCAAAGGAGCTCAGTCAGATTTCCTGTGGCAGATTGTTATACTGCCTTTGATTGCGGACTTGGACAGTGAACTTTCACCATAAGTACCAAACCTTACTTGCCTGGTTAATATTTATAATTGACTCCAAACAGGAATCTGAAACATTTTCAACGTCATAAGTTCAGATATTCTTTTGTTTTTGCAACTGCCAATTCATTCACAGGGTGACTTATGTTCTCCTTTCTTGATTCCTTGTTTCTCATCCATTTCTAATCAGTGCATGTGTTGGATTTAATGTTCACCAGTGGCGGATTTCCCACAAGGCAGACCTAGGCAGCTGCCTATAGGGGCGCAAAGTTTTGAGACACCTGCATGCTTTTTAAAGGGTTGTGAAATTCGTAAAAAAAATTAAGGACGAAGACATAGGTTGAAGAAAAGAAGAATATCTGTGAATCTGTCCTTGTCTGCTGATAAGGTCCGCGCCCCCTCTGCATTGATTGTCTCGTCTCGATGTCGCGCCTTTGTTTTTTACTTTTTTCAACTTTTTGTCGCCTTTGTTTAATTTTGCTGTTTTAATTCATTATAACTTTTGATAACAATCATAGCACATGAGGCTTTTGAGCTACCAAATTTTTCTCAGAGATAACCAAAAAGTAGCTTTAAATTGCGTTAATCAAATACCCGTTTTTAAAAAATTTCCGGGGGAGGACCCCCGGCCCCCCTTTTTCCTGGAATATCCCCCCCCCCACCCCCCACGTGGTTGTCAGTTCTGCGAGGGGCGCGACTGTGAGATTTGCTTGGGAGCACTATAAAGGTAAATCCGTCCCTGGTGACTACTACAAAAAAATAAAGTTTCTCAGGAAGTCTGCAAGTCGCAAATGGAGAAACGTGGTCTCTCATTTTGCCCAAAACTATGTATGTATAAAATTGAAGACATTTTGACTTTCTTCCCTCAACTTATATTCGTCTGTAACGATAAACACTGGGACGCGTCTGCTACGGCACCTTGATACAACTATACAACCTTGACGGATGTCCGTATTGCGTTCAAAAAATTGAAGGCGTTTTGACTTCCTACGCACTAACTGAATCTGGGTCGATCGACGGACGCGTTGATCGGCGGAGAAAGGGACTTGATGAAACTATTTAAACTTGATGGATGTCCGTATCGCACCTTCGAAACTATCGAAAATTGGTAGGTATCTGTCTTAAAAAGGAATCCTCACCAAATATCTCGGAAAACTATTGAACTTTTGAGTGGCTGTCAAAAGAGTAAAAATATTTCAATCTTTCTGAAATATTGAAATTAAGTGTCAGTATGAGCTGTAAATTCTTGACAATGTCCAAAAATCGCCACAATTTTTTGACTTAAAGTCATCAATTTTAGTCTGAAGTAATCATCGCAATTTTGAAATCGTCGCTTACTTTCTTACCCCCGGCGTTTAAGTCTCCGGAGATGTACATAATGAAACTAATTCTGCTACACGCATAGGTGGACATGCGTGAACTTATGGGAGTACCAAAGCTAACTGGACAAGCTGCATTGGTAATATAGAATATAGACGAGTAACTTCGCCGATCAGAGGGCTGATTATTGAAATCGATAGACAAAGCGATAGACAAAGAAGACATAGGGAAAAAAGAGCGATCCCAATGGTTGAAATGGGTGATTGTTGTAGACCAAGGGAGAAAATGATGAACTGACTATACGATCCCTCGTGAATCGCCGTTGAGTTGTCAATTACTCACTTCATTTTAGCGGCTCTGGTGCTAGCACCTAGAGCTGCTATTCCGGTGATTATTGAAATCGATAGACAAAGCGATAGACAAAGAAGACATAGGGAAAAAAGAGCGATCCCAATGGTTGAAATGGGTGATTGTTGTAGACCAAGGGAGAAAATGATGAACTGACTATACGATCCCTCGTGAATTGCCGTTGAGTTGTCAATTACTCACTTCATTTTAGCGGCTCTGGTGCTAGCACCTAGAGCTGCTATTCCGGTCGGTCTCTGCAGTGGATGATACCAAAGGTACATCTACCATTGGTTAGAGCGCGCGTTGGTAGATGGGAATCGTCGCCATTTTCGGCTGTGGACCTTGCCATGATTCTATTTTAATTCATTGTTTTTTCTTGTGAGCGAATGATATGTTGTGTAGTGTATTTTTGGAATCATGGTGATACTGTCGATAATTCAAAACTGGTCTGTGCTTTAATCTCGTATTGAAAAAAATGTACTTAACGTTTAAAATCTGAATTTTCAAAACGACAAGTTTTCGCGCTTTTTTGGAAAAATGCCGTGGTTAGAGCCTCCTAGTCGTACTACTTCATGGACGGATTTGTCCCTAGCGGCGTTGTTGTGCATTAATGCCTAAAATGCTAAGTCGGGTCCTGTTCACTCGGTTTTCGTGAAACTCGCTATCCGGAGGTATTTTTCAACGGGAAGTTCGAATTTTTGGTCAGATTTTCAAAACTTCAAAATCCTAGATGGCGGCCGTGGCCTAAAATGCTAAGTCGGCTCCTGTTAACTCGATTTTCATGAAACTCGGTATCCGGAGGTATTTTTCAACGGGACACTCAAATTTTCGGTCAGATTTTCAAAATCCAAGATGGCGGCCGTGGCCTAAAATGCTAAGTCGGCTCCTATTCACTCGATTTTCGTGACACTCCGTATCCAGAGGTATTTTTCAACGGGAAACTCGAATTTTCGGTCAGATTTTCAAAATTTCAAAATCCAAGATGGCGGCCGTGGTCTAAAATTCTAAGTCTGCTGATTGTGGATGAGGACAAAGATAACATAATCAGAACATGCCTAGTCTATGTTGTATCAGGTTTTCCGTCAAAAAATGCCACCTGGCACCGAGTTTTAAAGAAATCGAGCGAACAGGGTTTGCAGATCGTACGATAAACGCTATCTGTCAATTTGCCTACATTAAGGCGCCTTCAATTTCGTCTGATACTGCGAAATCCTTCTGAGGTGGAATAGTTGCTCAGAGCGCCTTCAAGCGTATCGCCTCGACTTGATGGCAGAAGATCACGACTGCCGCCGACATTACACCCCAGGACGTGTGGATTTACACATTTTCTCATCATCGACGGAGAGATGAAAAACATCCATACCTCAATTTGCGACGTTGCAACTTTTTCACTGCCTATTTTGAACGGGTAGGAGAACATGAACACTTAAAATCTGCCGTAATTTTTCCGAGATATGACAAAAAGCATTATTTGAATGTGTGAGCTGGCGAGCTGATAATAACAGTGATTGTTGAATTTGAATGTTTCATTTCAGTCTAATGTCTAAAATTTATGCTTAAATTAAACAGGAGGATAAGAAGTGGTAGGTAGGAATCCTCGAAGAAACAAAAACAGACCCGAAATGTTGCAACTCTGGACGTAAATGGGTCCGAAGAGGTAATAAGACCCCGAAACGTACTAAATGACAATTACTGTTATTGTCAGCTCGCTAGCAGCACATTCAAATAATGTATTTTGTCTCATCTCGGAAAAATCACGGCAGATTTTAAAGTGTTCATATTCGTTTACTCATTCAAAATAGGCAGTGTAAAAGTTGCAACGTCGCAAATTGAGGTATGGACGTTTTTTTATCTCACTTTTGGTGATGAGAAAATGTGTAACTGCGCACGCGTTAGAGTGTAATCTCAGCGGCAATCGTGATCTTCCGCCATCAAGTCAAGTCGATACTCTTGAAGGCGCTCTGAGCAACTATACCACCTCGGAAGTATGGCACAGTATCAGACGGAATTGAAGGCGCACTAACGTATGTAAATTCACTGGCATCCGCAGTGTCCTATAGATCGTGCGATATGCGACTCCTGTTGGAAATGAAATAATAAATGAATAATTTAAAAAATAAAACAAAACAAAAAAACAAACAGATTCATTTCATAACGGTTGAAGAGCGAGCTGATATCGAGGTTTAATTTAGCTGAGAGTGCATCGATTTGAAACTGAACTTAAAAAGGATAGATACCTAGATTGCAAAGTCGGATAATTTCGAAGGCACCAAGATGACACTCTCGGCCACATCCGGCATCTCCGACTTTTGAATTTTAAAATTTTGTATGAACATTCGACCTCTATGTGAAAAACATCTATCGCCGCCAAGTTTCACAAAAAAGAATCAAACAGGTGCCGAGATAGCATTTTATACCACATACACTATCTTAAATTTTTGAATTATGAAAATTTGAGTACAAATTCAGGTTTTCCGTCAAAAAATACCACGTGGTACCGAGTTTCAAAAAAATTGATCGAACAGGAGTCGCATATCGTACGATGAACGCTACCAGTCAAGTTGCCTACGTTAGTGCGCCTTCAATTTCGTCTGATACTGTGCAATACTTCCGAGGTGATATAATTGCTCAGAGCGCCTTCAAGAGTATCGCCTCGACTTGATGGCAGAAGATCACGATTGCCGCCGTCAATACACTCGAGGACGTTTCTTGAAACTCGGTACAAGGTGGCATTTTTTGACGGAAACCTTGAATTCCAACTCAACTTTTCATAATTTAAAAATCCAATATACTGGATGCGGCCTAAAATGCTGTCTCGGATCCTGTCTGATACATTTTTGTGAGACATGGTGGCAGTGGATGTTTTTCACTTTGAGGTTGAATTTTCCGTAGGTTTTGAATTTCAAAACTCAAAGATGGCTGAAGTGGCTCAGAG